GGATGCCAACCATAGCCAGGGGAGAGCCGAGCCTGGCCATGAGGGGCGGGACCTGCCTGTCCAGGGCAAAGCCAGCGAGGCCCCGGGAGGGGAGGGCGCCGCCAGGGGACCCGGCGACACTCGCGTGTCACAGGGCCAGGGTAAGACAGACGAGGTGAGGCGCCTAGAAGAGAAGGAAAGCTCCGAAGACAAAAGCAGCTCCCTGGACAGTGACGAGGACCTGGACACAGCCATCAAGGACTTGTTAAGGTCCAAGCGAAAGCTCAAGAAGAGGTGCAGGGAGCCCAGGGCTGCGTGCAGGAAGAAGGTCAGGTTCAGCACCGCCCAGACGCACTTCCTGGAGCAGCTGGGCGGGCTCCGGAGAGACTGGAAAGACAGGGGCCCGCCGGTGCTGAAGAGCTGCCTCTCCAAGTCCAAGAGAGGCAGTGGCGAGGGCCCCTGGAAGAAACCCCCCAGTGTCTTTGGCAGCACGGCAGAGAGGACGAAGCAGGAGGGCCCCGGGAGCCAGGACACGGCCCTGGCCTTCCAGGTGAGGAGACCCGCCTCTGCCTCCGCCTCTGCCTCCACGTCCGCCTCCGAAGGGATTCCATTCCCCAGGGAGTCCCAGGACCCAGCTCCCAGCCCCAGCTCCCTGTCTGATGATAGCAGTTCAGTGGACAGCGACGATAGCATCGAACTGGAGATTAGAAAGTTTTTGGCGGAAAAGGCCAAAGAGTCAGTGAGCAGTTCAGAAGTTCAGGCAGAGGGCCCCACTGCTCTCGGGACAGGGGGCCCAGCCAGGCCAGAGTTGCTGTGCAGAAGGGAGCCGGCCCCACTGCCTGGCGTGTGCACACGGAGCCAGAGGGCCAGGGGGGTCCCACATCTGGCCGACGGGCTTCGAGACACAGAGAGCGTGGGAGCACAGGGCGCAGCCGGTCTGTTCAGCCAGGGCGGGAAGGGGCTCCCTGCTGCTCCGGCCCGAGGGGATCCGGTGCCACCCAGGAGCACCAGTGGCAGTGTCTCCGCCAAGGGGCTCTCCGTGAGCAGGAGAAACGTTTACGTTCACAAAGACCAGAGCCCACGAGGGGCCGAGCCTGCTGCCAAAAGTGCTTTTGGTCAGCTGCCCAGCTGTGCCACCGTGGGCACCGAGGCAGGAGGTGCCAGAGGAACCTTTCACATGGGCTGCGGGAGCCCGAGCTTCCTGACCCCCAGCCCGGGAGCTGAGAGGGACACTGGAGCCCAGGCCGACCGTGCCCTGCCCTGGAGTGACTTCGCCCACCAGAGTCGGCTGCCCAGCCCGTGGGTGCTGCGCTCCGAAGGCACAGATGCGGCGTGGAGAGGGGGCATCGGGAGTGAGAGAGACAAGGGGTCTGAGGGACCCGGCCGGGGCCTGCCCAGCCTGCCCCTTGCGGGTTTCTCCCCGCTGCTGTCCACCCAGCTCTTCCACTTCGGAAAGGGTGTCTCCTGGGGGGGCAGGCAGGCCGGCCTCTTCAGCCCCCACCTGGGGCTGCCTCTGCAGGGCCCCTCCTTCTCGGCCTTCAGGGAGGCCCAGGCCGGACCCAGCCCTGTCTTTGGAAGCCCACACTTGCTGGCGAAGAAGGACGGCAGCCCCTGGCCAAGCAGGAAGGCACAGACAGGGCTGAGTTTGCACGACAGGAGGAGCTCGGGCTCGGAGGAAAGCATTTTAGACCTGAGGTATCGACGAAGGGTCATCAACAGAGATGACCAGGACCAGGACGCCTTGGGCAGTGACGCCAGTGACTTCAGCGACACCTCCGCGGAGGACAGCGGCGGCAGCTCAGTAGTGAAGGTCTAAGCCCTCGAGCTATGGGTTCGTGTCCCGGGTTCCGTGCATTCGTGGAAAGCGGCGTAGCCGTATGTGTAGCCGTGCGTGCGTGTGATGGTTCTGTGGTTGCAGGGAGGGGAAACGGTCTGTTATACATAACCCTGTATATATGTACACCAACATGAAACTTTTATTTAACAGACGTGTCCTGGTAAATATGATTTTTGTAGCTTTTTGTAAATTATTTAAAGTGATGTAAAAACTATTTTTGGAAAATCCTGTTGTTCGATTTTGTAGGGTGTTCCTAACTGCAGTCTCTGTGTTATGCATACAAGTCTTCGATTAGAAAACATTTGGTTCTTATCGTCGCAGCCAGGTTCACAGAGACTCTGATGCTTTTTAGTTGGTTACTGGTGAGAATGCCGGCGGTGACTGCAGTGGTAGCCTGAGGAAGGCCGAGCTGCCCTCCCTGTGAATCGCTCAGATGCCCCCGAGATGTCCGTTGGGAAGCTCCCAGGACAGCACTTTTTATACAGAGGACACCCCCTCGGCCCCACAGTCCTTGGAGGCCAGAGCACACCTGAAAACTGCAATTACAGCCGTCCATTGGAAACACCTTTCGAAGCACAATGGCCAGCGAGCACGTGACTGCTCCCTGTTGCATGTCAAATCCACACAGAGGTCAGCAGCAGCTGCTCTGCAGCCCAGCCCTGGGCCTGGGTGGGTTCATGTCCAATCTTGTTCAATCACTAGATGATTCTAACATCGAAATAAACCTCTTTTTATATGGAGTTACTGTTCTTTTTTAATCATGGTTCTTAAAGATAACACACGTGCATTTAAAATTTCCTTTTCCTTGGCTGGGCGTGGTGGCTCACGCCTGTAATCCCAGCACTTTGGGAGGCTGAGGCGGTGGATCACCTGAGGTCAGGAGTTCGAGACCAGCCTGGCCAACATGATGAAACCCCATCTCTACCAAAAATACAAAAATTAACCAGGCGTGGTAGCTGTAATCCCAGCTACTCGGGAGGCTAAGGCAGGAGAATCGCTTGAACCCAGGAGGCGGAGGTGGCAGTGAGCTGAGATCGTGCCATTGCACTCCAGCCTGGGTGACGAGAGTGAAACTCTATCTCAAAAAACAAATTCTTTTCTTGCACACACCAATAAGCACTGCTTAGAACTTTGGTCCTCAGACACCTAGGGCAGAGACGATGTGCAAAGCCCAGTCCTGGGGATAAGCGTTCTCCATACCTGCCCTCCAGAAACAGGAGCCCCATCAGAGGTGTGCCCGAACACCACGGCCAGCCCTTTGGGTGGTTTTCTGTGGGCACCTCCTAGGGCAGGATGCACAGGCCCCTCTTCACTGCGGTTAAAGGCAGCAGCCTCAGGTCCTCAGTGTTGGCGCCCTGTGATGCTGCCCTGGTATTCTGTGCCTTCTGCTCTGAGGCTGCCGCAGTGCCTATGGCTACTACAGAGACGGAAGCAGTGCTGGGCACTGATGGGCCATGACATGTACATTGTAATTGTTCAGCAGACTTTCATGAGTCACTGGAGGTTCCCAGGTCAGCCTCGTGGCTCAGCTGCCACGCAGGGTTTACTTTGGAGCTGAATCTTGTTGGTATTCTAACATGCGAGTGACTTGTCTACACACTGTGCACCCCTGGGTTTTAGCAAGAATTCACTCTTGTATCCAGATGCAGGCATGTGCCGCCTGCCATCCACAGTTATAACATCTGCTGGGTCAGAAGCTGGGACGAGGGTCCCTGTGGTTGTCGTTCCTGTCCAGCCCTGTCTTTTGTGTTTGATATCTTCATTGTGGCATATTGCTTCACTTAAGTGCTTCCAGGAGAAACAGTTTCATGTAATCTGTGCTCTTCTATTTATATTGCTTTTTTTCCCCCCACCCCGAGACAGTGTCTCACTCTGTCGCCCAGGCTAGAGTGCAATGGCTCAATCTTGGCTCATGCAACCTCCGCTTCCCAGGTTCAAGCAATTCTCGTGCTTCAGCCTCCCAAGTAGCTGGGACTACAGGCGTTTGTCACCTCACCCAGCTAAGTTTTGGATTTTTAGTAGAGATGAGTTTAACCATGTTGGCCAGGCTGGTCTCAAACTCCTGATCTCAGGTGATCCGCCTGCCTCGGCCTCCCAAAGTGCTGGGATGACAGGTCTGAGACACCCCGCCCTGCCTTATTTATATTTCTAGATAATGCCTGTGGGGGTGTTGGCTGGAAACCTCGTCCTGGGCCTGCTAGGGGAGGCGTTGCCAACCACAGTGCACATAGCGCTGAGCCTCTCCCACTCCTGTCCCCATGCCCACCCCAGGGTCGCTTGTCTCATGTCTTCCCCAAACCCCGGACCTTTTACACCTTCCATGACGTTCCCATGTCCTCTGCCAACGCTCCACACAGCAGTGCATGTCAGAGCTACCGCTGCCCCAGAGAGAAGACCTCCCAAGGTTCGGGGACATGGCGTTTGTAGCACACGGTCACCGGCCCTAGTTAGCGTGTTCTGCCCGTCCTTGTGGGTACGGCATCCGCTATCCACATGCGGAGCAGTTACCACTTGGCTGACAGTCACCGTGGGTTAATTACACCCTAAGAATGTTCTGGGAACCTGCATTTCTTTATGGAACATTTTGGTCCCTTTTCAGTTTTTGTAAAGAGGTGCCGTGTCGTCGCTGGGGTCACCCCGGTGGGGTGGACTCAAAACTGCACAAGATGTCCCCAGTTCAGAGCTCCTTACCGAGGGCCTTGGGGTCAGGCTTTGCTGTGACAAACAGTGGCTTGCTCAAGCACCGACCAAACGGCCCTCCTGATGGGGTTAAAACAGGCGATCCATGGGAGTCTTCCCTGGGGCTTCCTCGGGGCTTCCTCCGACCTTTGTTCTGCTGATCATGGCTGTCTTTGCAGCTCCTCTTGTCCTGCTTTCAGGAGTCACTGGTGCCTTAAGACTCAGCTGGAGATGAGTCCGTTGGTGCCTACTTTCTTTTCACAAACTGGAATTCCCTGGTATTGTCCGTGGGCCATGTGACCTGAAAGTGTTGCTGCTTCACCCTTACACTGCCCTGTGTGTTTTAGAGAAGAGGCCAAGATCCAAGGTTCGTCCACACCTGCCAGTGGGTTTTCCTGTATGGGAGGGGGCTGCAGTCGGGGCAGCCAGGAGCTGTCCAGGACGGATGCCCGCCCCTGTGTTGGCAGTCTGTCTCCCAGCACCTCCGCAGATTCGGGTGTGACAACGCGGCCTCATCCCATAAATACAGGCCCGGAGCTGCTTTGGGAATAAGTAGATGTGTGCCCGCCCTGTAGGAGTCTCCGGTGGACGGGGTGTCAGTAAGTCAAGCTCTTTGCAAGTCTGTAATTATTAAGACGTAGACGTGAGTCACGTCCCAAGAGCCCCTCTCTCTTCCCAGGTAGTAGACCCAGCGTCCATTTCATCCAATACAAAGAATCGGGAGACGTCAGGTTTTAAGGCTTCTCGTCCTCTGGGGTGGGTCAGCCTGATGTCGGGGAACGGGGATGGGAAAGGGAAAAAGTTCTGGTGGGTCTTGTCTGATATTCTCCACCCACGTCCCCATATAGGGGGAGAAGCTTCCTTTAGGGAAGAGTCCCCCTTATTTTATCTGTCGCTCAAACTCTGAAGGGTCAGACAGCAGGTTCTCCCAGCTTGAGATACATTTGCTTTGGAAAATCAAGCAGTACATTTAATTATTAGCACCTTGTCTGCTCATATAGACATGAAAACGCATTGTCCCCTGGATCCCCCCTCCCTCAAAATGAATGAAAGGGACTGTTTAAAGGGGTGTGGGGAACAACACAAAACCCACAGTCCACATCTGCAAATCACAACCAGGTTTATTCCCAGGCATGGCTGTTGGGGACGGTGGGGGACAGATCACATTATTTGCAAAATCTTTGAGGCTTCTGGTATTTTGTGTACTAAATGTAAGAGATTTTTTTTTTCCAATGTCAAGATATTTTACTATGTAGTAGAAACCATTCTAATATTGACTATAATGAAAAGATAAAGGTTACTGATGAAAAATACAGAAATATAAATGAAAATGTACGTTGAAGAAGTGGCTGGTTTTGGCCACGTGCGGCCTGTAATCCCAGCACTTTGGGATGCTGAGGCGAGCGGATCACCTGAGGTCAGGAGTTCGAGATCAGCCTGGGCAACACGGTGAAACCCCGTTTCTACTAAAAATACAAAAATTAGCCAGGCGTGGTGGCACATGCCTGTAATCCCAGCTACTTGGAAGGCTGAGGCAGGAGAATCGCTTGAACCTGGGAGGCAGAGGATGCGGTGAGCCGAGATTGCGCCATTGCACTCCAGCCTGGGCAACAAGAGTAAATCTCGGTCTCACCAAAAAAAAAAAAAAAAAAAGAGGAGTGGCTGGTTTTAAACCAACTCAGCAGCAAAATTCAGTGATTAGTAAGCGACATGAAACTTATTTTTCTTATTTATTTATTTTTTTTTTTGGAGGCAGGGTCTCACTCTGTCACCCAGGCTGGAGTGCAGTGGTGCAATCTTGGCTCACTGCAGCCTCCGCCTCCTGGGTTCAAGCAATTCTCTTGCCTCAACCTCCCAAGTAGCTGGGATTACAGGTGTGCACCACCATTCCTGGCTAATTTTTGTATTTTTAGTAGACACAGGGTTTCACCATGTTGGCCAGACTGGTCTCAAACTTCTGACCTCAGGTGATCCGCCCACCTCAGCCTCCAAAAGTGCTGGGATTATGGGCATAAGCCATCACGCCCAGCCTTAGCTTTTAATTTCTGAGTGGAATAAAAAGGCTAAACAAAGCAAAGCCTGCTCTGTGGAGTGAAGAGAGAGGGTTTCAGAAATGACTGTGTCCTTTTTTTTTTTTTTCAAATATCTCTGCAAACTGACGTTACCCTGTGTTTCCGTCACCTTTTCTGTAATTCCAGGATTTTGAAAGAACACAATACAGATGGGTGCCATTTTCTTTTCATTTTGCAACCCTCCGTTCTGAACACTTTAATCCCAAACAGAAAACACACCCGTTTAGCATTCACTTAGATCAGTGGACTTGACTTTTCTCAGCATGTCAAGATTTCAGTTTGGAAATCTGTTCCAAAGGTGAAGGTCCACATTTGTGAGCCCTGGAGTTCCGTCTCCACGTTTGTGATCCCTGGAGTTCCATATGACTCGCAAATGCGTAGTAGGTTAGGACTGAATCTGCAGATCTGGTGCCGATGGCCTCGCGCCTCCAGGACGTCCCCAAGGCGGGCTCCGGCGAGGCCTGCTCACAGCACTTCCTTGAGGCTCTTTCTCATCTGAGAGGGAGGCACAGCGATGAGACCTGCCCTAGGTGTGAGGCTTGGGCCAGGTGAGAATGCCAAAGCCCTTAGAATACTACGAGATGCCGAGAAACGGATTGGCGGGCACACGCCCGGGCCCGGGCATGGGAGATGGGCACGCTCACAATTCAGAGGTATTGGAGTTTTTCATCTTTCCAGATGCTTACTGTATTTAGAATAAACGAATGGAGTCCAACTTTCCATCAGCTCATTAGCAGCTGTACAGAAATAACGTTTCATTACACACAACCAACTAAAGCACTCGGTGCCCAACTGAGATGCCGGAATCGAGCCCGTGGGAGGGAGGCACCTGTTGCTGTTGGTTGATACTCCCAGCCTGGGCCCCTATAGCGCCTCAGCTAGAATTGGGGGTGTTATCCAAGTGAAGTGGTTTCATCAGGTGTGACTTTGCCTGCAGGTGTGACTTTGCCTGCAGGTTTTGCCTGCATGAAGCGGTCTTGCTACAGCAG